AGGAGTGGGAAATAGAGACCAATACTGTTGGGAGGCTAAGCGAGATAAAACCTGAAAAATAACCACTGGGTTTAGCATCCTGGTGATACCAGCCACTAGGTGTCAGGGGAGTGCTAGAAGCAGGAGCTAATTTATGGTGTGGGCAGCAAGGAAGAATAAGGAAGTAGAGGCTGGGAATGTATAATAAAATCTTTCCCAAAACTTGACTATGAAGGAGAAGATGAGATACTAGAAATGGGGGAGTTGATGAAAGAATTTTTTTCTTTTTGAAATAAGGTTCTGCTTGGCACCCAGGCTGGCGTGTAGTGGATTATAGCTCACTGCAGCCTTGAAGGTACTCTTGGTGAATGGAGATTTGTTGCTGTTTCTGAGATAGGAAAGAGAAACAAGTTTCTTTTCTTTTTTCTTTCTTTTTTTTTTGAGACAGGAGCCTCAAGCTGTCCCCCTGGGTAGAGTGCTGTGGCATCTCAGCTCACAGCAACCTCCAACTCCTGGGCTCAAGGGAGTCTCCTGCCTCCGCCTCCCAAGTAGCTGGGACCACAGGCGCCGCCACAACACCTGGCTATTTTTTGGTTGCAGCCATCATTGTTGTTTAGCTGGCCCGGGCTGGATTCGAACCCGCCACCTTGGGTGTACATGGCTGGCACCTTAGCCACTTGAGCCACAGGCACCGAGCCTAGAAACAAGTTTCAATGTAGAGGACAAGAAAGGAGAGGTTGAAGGTATAGAAGAGACAGATCATCAACAGATCGCATGTCTGTGAAGGAAAGCATTCAACTGCCTACAGAAAGCTCGGACAGGAGGGATGACTGTTCAGTTGATCCATACTTGGGTTTTGGGAACTACACACCGCATAGTAGACAAGTATTGTTGTCAAGAGAGTGGTCAAGGCAATAGCGCTGGGAATTTATGGGTGAGAGGGAGAGGAAGACCAGCCAGCCCTGGTGAGACAGCAGGAGGGAATGGCTAAGCAACCTGGGAGCACAGGAGGCTATTGCACCAAGGGTGTCTGAAATAATTTTAGGGTGGCTTGGCGCCCGTAGCACAGTGGTTAAGTCGCCAGCCACAAGCACCGAGGGTGGTGGGTTCGAACCTTGCCCAGGCCAGCTAAACAAGGACAACTGCTACAACAACAACAAAATAGCCGGGCGTTGTGGTGGGCGCCTGGAGTCCCAGCTACTTGGGAGGCTGAGGCAGGAGAATCACTTAAACCCAAGAGTTTGAGGTTGCAGTGAGTTGTGACGCCACGGCACTCTAAAAGGGCGACAAAGTGAGCCTCTGTCTCAAAAATAATTTCAGGGAAGATGGGTTCCTAAATAGGTGGCAGTATCCCCTGATCCGCTGGTCTCTAGGTCTCGGATATTCCAGTGCTTAGAACAGACCTTATCATGGGCTAAGCATAAAATACTGCCCCTCACATCAGTATCATTTAAAACTCTAGAGACTCCATTTCTCTTGCTGTCTCGAAGCCGCCGCGACTACAACTCCCGTCATGCACGGCGGCTGCCTTGTCGGTGATCTCCCACCTCCCTGGACGCTTTGCCAGTCCCAGCGTTCCTTGTTATCTCGGTATTTTCCTGCCTCGCCTTACGCTGTTGAGACCTACGAACAACCAATTGGATCACGGAGTGGGAGACCTGGCAGACCAATCGTCCCAGCCATAGGGGCGGGATGGGCAGGGACAGATTCTGTCCCGCCTCTTCACCGTGGCAGGCTCTCTCCTCGCTGGCGCCTCGGGCTGGACCTGTAGATATGGGTACCTCCTGGGGGAGCCCCGGATGGGTGCGGCTCGCTCTCTGCTTGGCAGGCTTGGGGCTTTCTCTCTACGCGCTGCACGTGAAGGCGGCACGCGCCCGGGACCGAGATTACCGCGCGCTTTGCGACGTAGGCACAGCCATCAGCTGTTCGCGGGTTTTCTCCTCCAGGTGCGTGCGGGAGTGAAAAGCTCCGGGTACATGTGCTTGAAGGCAAGATTGCTAAATGATTCTGGACTCTGGGATCGAGGTGCCCAGGGAACGGACGCTTGGGGGCCGAACTACTCGAGGGTGTGTTGCACAGGCGCTGGGCTACTCAGAGATACTCTTGTTGCAGACAGACTACGGGGCAGGGGACTAGGGATTCGCGCTCCGATCAGATGTCAAGGAATAACGGTGACTGGGAAAAAGAGGAAGGTAGGGTAGCGCGTAGGGACCGATGGTGGTCTTTAGGATGGCAATCGGGGGCGCTGGTGATTGCCGTGCCCAGGGACAAGGTGGCTGGGTCTGGTTGTGCTTGAGGACCAATGTTTAGCGATGAAGGAATACGAAGGAGGAGAATGGGTGGCCAGGGAATTGGAGATTTGAGGGGTCTAGGGCAAAGACAGTTTCCCTTGTTCCCAGGCTCTGGTAACTCAAATGGGGTCAATCCAGCTGTGCTTTCTTAAATTATTGGAGGAGGCCGGGCGACGTGCCTCACGCCTCTAATCCCAGCACTCTGGGCGAAGTGCTCTGCGAGGAGGCCAAGGCAAGAGACTAGCCTGAGCCAGAACGAGACCCCGGTCTCTAAGGGGGTTTCTAAAAATAGCCGGGCTTTGTGGCAGGCGCCTATACTCCCAGCTAGTGGGCAGGCTGAAGCAAGAGAATCACTTGAACCCAGGAGTTTGAGGTTGCTGTGAGCTTTGACATCTTGGCACTCTACCAAGGAGGACAAAATGAGACTCTGTCTCCCCCACCCCACCCCACCCCCACACAAAATTGGAAGTTTAGGATGAAAAGAGGGGCCTATGGAAGAGCGATGGCCAGGCTTGGACTCAGGATTGGAAATGATAGGGGCAGTGATATGGAAACCTGACTTGGCCAAAGGTACTAGGCACCAGGTCATCCACCCTTGGACTGGGGGGAAGGGGGAAATGGGAATAGGGGACAGTGACCTCCTGGAAGTCACCTTTCCAGGACTGGGTCCAGGCACTAGGTTGACACTCCTAACCTGGGTCCCCTACCATAACCACCACCACTAGGTGGGGCCAGGGCTTCGGGCTGGTAGAGCACATGCTGGGACCGGACAATATCCTCAATCAATCCAACAGCATATACGGTTGCATCTTCTACACACTACAGCTGTTGTTAGGTAAGTGGCCCTGCCCCTTCATGGCAGGCCTCTTCCCCTTGGCCAACCCCAGGCAGCTGACAGCCAGCTAGCTGATTATCACTGAGAATCGTGGGAGTGAGGAGGCAAGAGCAAACAGTCTTTTAGCTGGTTTAGATACTATCAGAAGGTGAAGGGCCCTTAAAAACACCCTAGGACCCCAGGGTGGAAAAGACTCAGAAATTTCTTTTTGAAGGGAATCCAAGGGTGATCTTTTATCTCATGTGGAGCTCAATGGGAAAATTCACTATTTGGTCCTAGGGAAAACTGAACAGAAGGGAACCAAGGTCCTGGAGGGGGCCTGGTGGAGCCTCTTGTTTTAGACACTTCCTTGGCAGCTCCTGCTGTCTGAGTGGCCCTATGAAGTCACCGCAGTATTTCAGAGGTGGCCAGCCCCTGAAGCCCATGTCTCACCCTTTTCTGCCTTGCAGGTTGCCTACGGACACGCTGGGCCTCAATCCTGTTGGTGTTGAGTTCCCTGGTGTCTCTGGCTGGCTCTGTCTATCTGGCCTGGATCCTGTTCTTCGTGCTCTATGATTTCTGCATCGTTTGCATCACCACCTATGCCATCAACGTGGGCCTGATGTTGCTAAGTTTCCAGAAGGTCCGAGAACCCCAGGACAAAGTTAAAGGGCACTGAGCCCTCACCCCAAGCCAGGCTGGCTTTGTCTCCTTTGCTTTAGCATATGAGCCTTGCTCAAGCGGGTCGCTAGAAGGCCTACTAGATATCCCCCTCCTCCAGCTACAAGACCCAAACTCAAGACAGTGGACCAAGTATGCCATGTTCTCTTTTTTCTACCCGGTCTCTTTGGTTCTGTCCCCAAGGGCTGGTTTCCAAAGCTCCTGCCACTGCTCAAGGAGGGAAGATTCTGAGCAATAAAATTTCTTAAATAAATTGGCCAAGTCTGAACCATCTCTCTGCCACGGACCTTGGTGTTGGCCCTCCCCCAGTGTTTGCCTTCTCTGGAACTGAGAAGGATGTGAGTCAGAGGGAGTTAAAGGGCCTACTGAGAAGGGTGATTTATGGTTAATTCCATCTCTGGCATGGAGTCAGCAAGGCCTGGGGTGCTATCAGCCCCTACCCCCAGAAAATAGGCTGGCAGCTTGTCCCTGCTGCCCACAGGAGTTAGGCCTCCTTCCTCTCCATAAAGGGCTGAACACATACCTGCAAGGGCAAGCTGCCCTTCTGGTTCTGTCATGGTTACTGAGAAGTTCTTCCTATAGTTTAACCTAAACCCTTCCAGCTGCTTTCTCTACCATCTTAAGCCAGTCTTGGTAGCCCTAGAGGACCAGGGCCAGGTTGTGGGTTTTTTTGTTATTTTTCTTAACACATGAGCATTTGCTCATATGTCAAGCACTCTTTAGGAAGCTGTAAACAGGGGCTGTGCCTGTGGCTCAGTGAGTAGGGCACCAGCCCCAACTACCGACGGTGGCGGGTTCAAACCCAGCCTCGGCCAAACTGCAACAAAATATAGCTGGGCATTGTGGTGGGTGCCAACTACTCGGGAGGCTGAGGCAAGAGAATCACCTAAGCCCAAGAGCTGGAGGTTGCTATGAGCTATGATGCCATGGCACTCTACCGAGGGCAACAAAGTAAGACTCTGGGCTTGGCGCCTATAGCTCAACCGGCTAAGGCACCAGCCACGTACACCTAAGGTGGCGGGTTCGAATCCCCAGCCCAGACCC